CGACGGCCTACATAAGAAATACCCATTCTGCATTATTTCGCAATCAGCGAAGATAGCACAAAATGCTCGGTCACTCACCTCCTGGCGATCTTTCGCAACCATTCGGCCTCAAGTCATCAACTTACCACTCAACTTCCGCGATGCAGAGTTAGCGAAAACTCATTTTGAAACCAAATACCCAATACCCATTCTGCACCTTCCGGGATTCAGCCTCAGCAAAACCACCCCGACCTACTAGAAATTGTCAACGAAGCACCAAACACGAGACACTGACTAAACAATCCACCAGCGCACCATACAACTACAAGCCAGAGTAACAACGTAAAAGAATTAAGTGAATGAATAAATACTGAATAATCCAAGAACAACAAAAACTCTCGCATCATCATTTCTTGCTTGCCTAAAACATTTTTCAAGCCAGCCCGACACCTGAAGTCACCTACAATCTACAAATTTGCTGTAGCGGACCATGGACAGACTGATGCATACCTCAGCCTGAAATAGGACCTCACAACGTTATTGATATCCTGCAGGGGGTAACCAGCCTAAGTAGCTGGAATGCCAGATCGAATCATTACCGATCGCGGTACAGCTTTTACTTCAAAGGATTTTGAAAAGTATTGTAAGTCGAATAATGCAAAGCACATACTCAATGCTGTAAAGACACCAAGAGCGAACGGTCATGCAGAGCGAACCAACCGGATTATTTTGTCAATGCTATTGCCTTCAAATGAAAATGAAAAACGATGGGACGACCAGATACGATCAATTCAATGGAGCATCAACACCATGGTAAATAATACGACTAAATGTTCCCCATTTCAGCTATTGTATGGTTGCGAGCCACGAGATATCCTCAAGAACACAGTGACGAATGCGATCCAAGGCCCGGATCTGAAGATGATGACAGATGATGAGTTGGAAAAGCTACGAGCAGATGCTGCGACTACAGTCAACGTGCTGGGTTCATAACAACAGAGGCGATAGCGGACATTCAAGAAAACCGTTTGTCAATTAATTCAGTCTACATATAGACTGACATATAGACATATAAACTTTGCTAACTGACTAGCTGACTTATGCGAAATGCCTGCAGTCAGAGCGAGAGAACTATATGCGTCAAGCTGGCTGTCCAGTTGAGCTGGGAGCAGCGCTGCGTTAGAATTTATCGAAAATTTTACTCTGCGGATACAATTTTACTGGCTTGGTGGCTATGTTAGCTGGAAAACATCCTTTTGTATTAAGTAGTGCTTTAGTTGTTCGACTGAAAGCCATTAGACGTGTCTAGAGACGGCTGCGAACAATAATGTTACATTCTGCCTCTCATGCTATCTAAGTCTAATGTCATATGGCTATTAGACTGCAAATTCGGCTAGTCAATAAAATATGTGTATGAAGCAACACATTAATTTGTTGTTTATCAAGATAACTATTTGGTTTCAGAACTTAATGTATTAGGAAAATATAACTAAATTGGGACTTAACAGCTATTAAAATTGTTATAGATGATCCGTGGGCGTCAATGCAGTGCGAATGAGAGAAGGCTCATTCGACGACTCCGATATGAAGGAAAAACTTATAAATCCATTGCCAGGTTAATGAAACGATCTCAAAACTTCGTAACCAATGCCTCAAAACCGAAAAAAATAGGTGAAACTCGGGGAGAACCTAGAAAATCATCATCTAAGACCGACGATCGGTTGGTTGAGTTGGTCAATTTTTTTTTTTAATTTTTTAATTTTATTTATCATTTTTTTTTATCAATTTATTAGTTAAAGAAGTGTATAGAATAACAAGGAGAAAATAATAGGTGGAAGAGAATATAAATAAATAAAGCCCGAGTTTCTGCGGGTATGCTTTGCTTCGCAGGGACGGGCGGGTCACCTTAGACCCCTCCTTATATGCGGTTGCGACTCCCCTCCAGCTCTCTCAGCTTCCGCATATGCTCTGACGCGTATCCGCATACCATTAACCAGTACTGTTCACTCGAAACCATCCTGTTGATCAGGTTCTCGGCGTTCAGCGTGTCAACGCCAATGCCGCTTCGCTGTTCTGCAAGCCTTGCGCAGTTGACAAGATTGTGCTCTGCGGTTTCTTCGACGCCACACGTCGGGCAGTTAGCGTCGCTGTCGTGCCCGAAACGATGGAGGTAACTACTAAAACAGCCGTGTCCACTTAGTAGCTGGGTTAGCCAAAAATTAACTTCTCCATGCTTCCGGTTTACCCACGTAGCGATGTCCGGTATAAGGCGGAATGTCCATCTGCCCTTCGCTGGGATGGCCCATCGTTTCTGCCATCTGTTTAAGTTCCTTTCCCTCGCTGCCGACTTTATTCGTTTCCGTAGTGCCGGAGATCGATTCTGTGGTGCTGCGTCGAGTTCTAAGAATATTTCCTTTGCTTCCTCGGCGAGGTCTGCCACTGGGACCATTCCTGCTATGACCATGGCCGCGTCATCCGAGATACTTCGGAAACCGCAGCAGACTCGCAGAGCTCCTAGTCGGTGAGTTGCGTCTAGCCCTGTCCTGTAGGACCTTGTGCTCGCCGCCTCTGCCCAGAATGGTGCTGCGTACATCATTACCGATTTGAGGACTGACTGAAGAAGAAGTCGGCGGCCTTGCTTGGGTCCCCTCGTGTTCAGCATCTTGCGCGAGAGTGCTCTTCCTTTTTGGCCGCCTTTTTGCTGACTGCCTGGAGGTGCTCGCGAAATGAGAGGCGAGTGTCCGGCATTACACCGAGATATCGGATTGCTCTTGAGGATAGTATGTCAACTGAGCCGACACGGACGGTCGCTACCTCGACTGCGGCTGGATATAAGAACCGCCTCCGTCTCTGTCCGGATCGGCCGTGGTGAAGGGATTTGCCGCATTAAGCTTTTTTGCTATGACCTTGTATGCGAGACCCCAGGGGTCATTTTCGGCAGAATCGCAAAGCTCTAGGAAGCACTTCCTCTTGCTTTCTCTGATAGACCTTTTGAGGACTCGGCGTTTCGCGGCGTATTCCTGGGACCTCGTATGGAAGGCTGGCGTTCTTTTCGCGCGTGTTTGGCGCCTCCTAGCACGGATGCATTCGCTGCGAGCTTTGGCGATCTCCGAGGTCCACCAGAATACCGGCTCGCGATGGCGCGGGTGGCTCCTTGTCTGTCGTGTGCTTGCCTTGCAGGCCGATGTTATCGAGCGGACGAGTTCGGCAGCACTAGCTTCTGCATCTCCCTGGGGATCTGGTACGATCAACTCCTCTGGAAAAACTCTGTCCTGAGGGTTCTGGCGTTAAAGACCGTCGTTTGCTTGTGGGCTGAGCCTTGCCTGCGGGACTCGATTTTGCGGATAATTGCTTTGTGGTCACTAGCGGTGTATGCGGTGCTGAGCGTACACGTTGTACTCTCGACGAGACGCGGTCCCAGCACGGGAGAACGTATCCTTTGATCCCGTATTGATCTCCAGTGTGCCAAAGGCTTTTAGGAGGGTGTGATTTCTAGCGTTGGTAAATCTTTACCCCCATTCTTCTGACCAGGCGTTGAAGTCTCCTGCCAGGTTGACATTTGGCCGTCCCCTTGCGTCGTCTGCTACTTCGTCGAGTATGGCGCCGAATTCCTGCAGCGACAGTCGTGGTGCAAGGTAGCAGCTGTATAGCCAGAGCTGGCCGACTTTTGCTCGGACATAGCCATTTCCCTTGCGTACCGAGTCTGCTTGATGACCCGAACTAGCGTGAAGTGGTGGTCACTGGTTGTGCGGTATGGTTCGCTGAGGAGTGCAACATCCGCTGATTCGTCTCGGACTAACCGACAGAGTAGGTTCTGGGCCGTTTCGCAGTGGTTTAGGTTCAGCTGCAGAATCCTCATTTCGCTATGCGGTGGTTAGGCTCCGGTCTGCTTCTCGGACATGTGGCTTGCCGCAGCCGGGTCCTTTACGGCACAGAGGAAGCATCTAGGGTCATTGGTGCACTCCGCTACTTTGTGGCCCCGCTTGCCATACTTGAGGCAACAGTTGCTGCGGTTGACATCGCTCTAGCAACTGGCTGCAATGTGTCCAAACTCTAGGTATTTGTATTTGTATTTTGCACCTGAACAGACAATGCCATGGCGACCTCCTCTTTGGTGGCAAGGTCGTCGATGTCGCGTATCTCGATGTAAGTCTCGCTTACCAGCGGCCTGACGCCTGCCAGCGTACCAAGCACTTGGCCTATCTCCTCCTTTAGCTGGGCAGTATTCTATTCTCCTTCTGCGCGCCGTTTAGCTCAAGCAGGAGATCTCCTCTCGCTTTGGGTCTCCTTTCTGGACCTTCAGGCGCGTTTAATGGTCGGCGTCTGGGCCTGTGGGTCGCGGTGGTTCAAGCCTCTCCATGCGGTGCTTGCGTGGTTTGTGACGATGACTCCGTCAGCCTGCATGGGATCGGGGATGTCTGCTGGTCCATCGTCTCCGGCTTGTGTTTCTCTAGTTTCTCCTCCTGAATTCTCTCGCAGATGTCCGAGTGTAACTCCTTCAAGTTGGATAGGGAGTCTTTTAGCTGGTTTCCAAGACGGGTAGCCGGCCTCTTCTCGAGAATTACGGATACCAATCCGTCTATGATCTCGCCCATTTCGGCCAACAGCGCTTGGAGACTTTTGGTGACCTTCTTCCTCTTGGTCTCTTTCTCTAAGCTGGCAGGGTTACTTAGCTCTCTGCCTCTTTTGGGCGTATCGCCGTCCATCATCGGGGCACTCGCGGGTGCAATTCCAGAGGGAGACCTCGCGATCTTGGCTCTTTGAGCGAAGGCCTGGAGGTCGTCCGAGTCAGCCAGCTGGGCTAGATACGATCCTCCCAGCATTGTACCTTCAGAGAAGGAGCGGCTTCTGGGATCCCTCGGCGGTTAGAGGTTTCCCTGCGGCGATCACCGGTGGGAGTTATACCGCTCCGATTCGGTAACCAGATAGATAGCCGGTCTTCCCGCTTTGCAGGTGCTTGTGGACAGAAATTTGAATTAATTTGAATTTAATTAATTCGAATCTTTTTAACGATCTGTAGTCGGTCGCTGTCAAAAGCTCGCTGCGCTGGGACCTGGAAACCCTTTGCAACACTTCCGTCGTTCAGCTGATTCGTGGCCTGCACTGTCCAGCCCTGTAAAGCCCTGTATTGTAAGGAACCTATTTCAGGCTGGGGTAAACTCATTCTGTCCAGGGTTGGTGATGGATGGTGCTGGAGTAACGGCGAGTGGCTCGGCAGATGCGTGGCTCTGCTGGATGTTCCTATCGATTGGTGTGTCTGCCTTGTGTGACCACGAGTCCTGGGGCGTTTCAGCCTGCTGTTTCGGGGCGTTTCGGGCGACCACGAGTCCTAGGGCCGGTCTGCCTGCTGTGACCACGATTCCTGGGGCCTGTCTGCCTGCTGTGACCACGAGTCCTAGGGCCGGTCTGCCTGCTGTGACCACGAGTCCTGGGGCCTGTCTTCCTGCTGTGACCACGAGTCCTGGGGCGTGTCTGCCTGTTGTGAAGTCAGCTTGACCCTCCGAAACCGGATATTGAGGGATTGCAGGGTGGGGTTGGCATCCCACTCTTTGTCGACTTCCCATTTCTCATCCGATCTTGTGAGACTCGGGGTGGGGCAGGTACGCCGGAAACGAGGACCCTCTTCATCCTCCAGTGAGGATACCGACTCCCAGCTTACGAGGTTACTCTCTGTTTTGCGACTGGTCACGGTGCGTCGCCGTTTCGGGAGTTTGGCAGTAATGTCCTCGTCCCGATCCTGGGCCTCCCTGCCCTCGTCATCCGTTTCGCGAGGTAGGAGATTTACGTTCGCGATCGTCGGTTCGACGTCTGGTCCCGGGTCGGCTGGTTCGTATGCTGGACTGTTTCGATGTGCTTCGGCGGGCTCCCGGAAGGTGTTAAAGAATTCCTGCACGTTGCGCCATGGTGGAATTGTTATGTCAACGGTCATCCGGCAGTTCTGGGTGACTCGCATTCCTCAAGGTGTGACAATGTGGTGGTTTCGGCACTCGAGACGAACTCCTGTGTGTAGTAGTCGTCATCGTCGTCTTCTTGGTCGTACCAATTTCGTGGCGGTGGTACGTATGGTTCAAGCCCTTGTTCGGGTGTTACCGGACGATACACTCCTTGGCCGAGCTGCGGGTCGCGTCTATGACGGAATGCTCCTTCGGTTTCATCCGTAGTCTCAGCATATCGGGGTGACCGGTAAGGGGTATACGTCGGCGGGTCCGGGGCAACATACGGTGCCGCTCGTGAGGCGTAAGAGGGTGACTCCGGGGCGTGGCGTGGTGAGTCGGGGCCGGGACGTGGATAGGACGGGTAGGTGGTACGCCGTGAGAACAGCGGTGGTGTGGCTGGGCGACCTACGGGACGTTAGGTCAACCCAGTTGGTCGGGTCACCCGCTGCTCGTTGGGGTGGGGGTGTAGCACGATGGGTCCGAAAGTGCGTTGACGTGGGGATGTCGTTCTCGGTGGAATCCTCATCGGAGAACTCCATTGCTTGGTCGTCGTCTGCGAGTTCAGTATTCCGGTCGTCATCGTCAAGTTCCACGTCTCTTGGTGGAGTCTCGGAGGAGTTTTCGTCGCCCGAATCCATGTCGGCGGCTGCAGGAGCTAAGTTCTATATTAGGGAAATAGATGGATTAAATGATTCCGTCCTACTTATTGCCATTGGTTTCTGTGGTGCAGCCTTACAATTTTCTCCTAACATGCTTACTAACTTACTAACGAGTGGTCACAATAGCGATACAAAGTAAAAATAATAAGGGAATGGCTAATGACATCTCTGGTAGTAACGCGTCCCAGGTGCTTTGATGTTCCTCAACAAACTGAAGTATCATCGTTTTCACAGTCATATTAGCCCTTTCGGTGGGGTTTTCTTGAGGACAGTAGGGTGCTGTATGTTGGAGCTCTACTCCTGCTGACTTAAGAAATGATTTGAACGATCGGCTGGTAAACTGGGTACCATTATCGCATACGAACACTTTCGGTACTCCAAAATGACTGAGGATTCGTTCCCGAATGGCTCCTTCAAGGTTTGCTGCCGTTGCTTTCTTGAGCGGAACTAATTCGACCCACTTGGAAAAGGCATCGTAGAATACCAGTAGTGTGGTGTTACCTTGTTTGGATCGTGGGAGCGGTCCCACGAAGTCGGCACACAGGGTTGCAAATGGTTCTTCGGGTCTGCGGGTGAGCATCTTCCCGGCGGGTTTTTGTTGCATAGCCTAAAACTTTTGGCAACTGACACATACTCGGACGTATCGTCTCACGTCTCGGTACATACCCGGCCAGTAGTATCTTTGTGTGAGCCTGGTGATCGTCTTCCGCACGCCGAGATGTCCGACAGTGGGTTGGTCGTGGCATTCGTGTAGCACTCACGAGCAACGGACTTTGGGCACACAAAGCTTCCAGGCCACATAATCGTCATCGTCAACTCCGTGCCCTATGTTTCGAAAGAGTTGTCCGTTCTCTTGTGCGTAATCCGGGTATTTCTGGGGTTCGTCTTGAACTTGTTGTGTCCTGCGCTTGAGCCAGGGGCAATCTATCTTCTCTTCTTCGACCCGTGCAAGGGTTTCCAATGGATAGTGCGTCCGCCACGACGTTTTGTTTTTGCCGCCCGATAGTGTACATCGTTTTGGTACTGCTGGAGATCGAGGGCCCATCTCGCAACTCTGCCGTACGGACTGTCAAGGGTATTTAGCCATTTAAGGGCGAGATGGTCGGTGATTACGTCAAATCTGTAGCCTTCGAGGTAACAACGTAGTTTCCTGATTGCCCATATGACTGCCAAACATTCTTTGTCCATGGCCAAGTAGTTCTATTCTGCTTTATTAAGGCAAAACTTGGCGTTGAAGTCAGGGCAAGCAAGAACTGGAGCGGTGGTTAGTAGCTCTTTTAGTTTGTCGAATGAGTCCTGTTGTTCCCGTGTCCATGTCCATGCTCGTCCCTTCTTGAGAAGTTGTGACATTGGTTGAACATCAGTGGCGAAATTTGGCACAAACCGGCGATACCACGACGCCATCCCTATACATTGCCGTAGTTCCTTGAGGGTGGCGGGTGGTCGCAGATCTTTAACCGCTGCTATTTTGTCCGGGTCGGTATGAATACCTTCCTCACTAACCATGTGTCCTAGGTATTTTATCCGGCATTGGACAAACGTACATTTGTCCGCATTGATCTGCTCCGATAACTGTGTCGAGGGTCCGTTGGAACGTGGCGGGGGCATTACCTTCCATTGATAAAGACCTCTTTCGGGTAACGTGAAAGCGGTGGCTTCCCGGCATCACTTCCCGTTCCCGTTCAACGAGACCCTCGACTTTTTCATCTGTGATGCGCATCATGGCCGGATTCTTCGGATAATACCGTTGTTTTATCGGGCGACTGTCCCTCATGACAATGGTGTGTTCTGCTAGGTCTGTCGACCCTTGGAGGGTTTCGAACTTTGGGAGTTCTTCGTCAAGAAATTCGCGGATGTGTTGTGCTAAGTCTGGAATCCAGGGCTGTACGTCTTGTTCGGGTTCATCTTCCGCATGCATGTTCATTTCTATGTCGACGGTTTCAATAGAGTGATCGGGAAGAATTGTCGTGTCGAATGCGCTTGGGGTGGTCTGGTCGGGTGGGGTACTCGGAAATGTTGGATATGATGGGAGTAGTGGCAGCCATGATTGCTGGATACCTTTGTCTTGTGGCTCGAAGGAATATCGGCTCGACTTCGTCCTTTCGCCTAGCAGCGTATATGTCCCTCGGTTCCATTGTGGTCCTTAAACTCGTGATCCTTGTCCGAGTGTTTGTGACCGTTGTTGTCGTGCTCGTGCTCGCTGTGGGTGTTCTCGTGATGGTGGTCTCGGTGGCCATTCTCGTGCTTGTGGTCTCTGTGGAAACCATCGTGTTCATGTTTCCTGTTTTTATCCTCGTTATCGTGTTCTCTGTTGCTTGTGTTTGATCCTTGCTCTCTGTCGTAGCAGGGGTTTCTGTTGGAGCCATGCGGAGCCATAATTGTTTGTTTTCGGATTTTGTTCTCCGTTGAGGATGTCGTAGTTGGGTTCTCTGTTGTGGGTCGTTTGATTTTGTTCTCGGGTCCTTGGGTTATCACATGGCTGGCGGTGGTCGTCGGCTCGTCGTCATTGATGCAAACGCCTCGTAGATGTATGCGAGTGGTTCCGCATTGTATTGTGGTTTCTATGGCGCACAGAAAGTCCATCCCCACTCTCCACCATGCTTGGTAATACCAAAAGGGGTATCCGTACCTCGCGCATATGTAGTTTAGTGGATGCGAGTAAGACTTGAGTAATGGGTCTCACTGACCCGTCGGCTAGACGGATTTGCATTAAAGCGTCTCGTACATTTGTGTCTGTAATTAACCTCTCGGCCAGAGCTTGGTTTACGAAACTTCGGGTTGCTCCTGGGTCTTCCTTCAATTTTTACCATCGCCATCGCCGCCATGCAGGTATAAGGGTCTTTTTGATCTTGGGTTTTGAATGGCGTCGTTCTCGGCTTTCCCGTCGCAGTCGAGGACGCACCTAGTTTCCCGACGCTTCTCGTTTTGTAGCATTGGATGGTTCTGATGCCGCGTTTTCCGCATTCCCAACAAAATGGGATAGAGCTATTTTGGCAGCTTGCCGCCAAATGGTCTGGTCCGCCGCATCGACGACATGCCGTGCGCGCGTTGCCAATGGGGGATGCGTCGTGCTGAATCATTTTGTTGGAGATCTCTTTACTAGGTATAATGTGTTGCGTTGGGAGTCTTGGCGAAATGGGTTCAAAAGTCTGGTTCCCTTCCGGTTGCTTTTACTCTGTGCTCGGAGTGGGTCTGGTGCGTCTAGATGTACTCTGAGGTGACTTCGTTTCTGGTGAGTTCCAGTTTCTGGTATCGTTCCGTTCTTGAATGATTTCAAGCTCTACGGCAACTATGTTAGCTGGCCAGAGTTCGAAGTTCGTGTCTCCTCACGTACAGTTGGTATCCTGGTAGAGTATTGTCGTAGATGCGGTTGAGTTCTTGGGTCGTGTCATACCCTGCGTGTTGCATTACGAGGCGGATCTCGATGACGAAATCCTTAAACAACTCGCCCCCAGCTTGTTTTCGTGCCCGGATTTTGTCTTGAAGCTGTTCAAAATATCGAGGCGGAAGAAAAATGCCAAAAATTCCTTTCGGAACTCTTCCCACGAAACGCTTTGAAGTCGGCTGGTTCGGAACCAACGACCCGCTCTGTCAGTGAGCATTTCTGCCATGGCTCGAGGTAGATGATTTATGTCAACGCCGTATGAAAGAACGCGTTCTTCGAGCAATTCCACGAATGCTAAAGGATCATCGTGACCGTTGAATTGGCTGCCCCAGTGCCTGATTCTGTCCGCCATCTGGAAGGCGTGGAAGTACGAAGTGTTGTGGTGGTTCCCAGGCTCAGTGTGTCTGCTGGTTTTGTCCGGAAGAGGCAGAGTTCTCCTTATGGGTATCGGACTGGCTTCCGGCGACCGGGGCCTTGGTGAACCTCCCTCGGATATCAGGACTACAGGTGGCACATTGTTTTTGGCCGCCGCTGGCGGGGGAAAGGGTATGCCAAATTTGTGATCGAGGCTCTTCTTCTTCTCCTGTGATGTTTTGGCGCTTGGCTGCAGTGATTTGGAGCGTCCAAGAGACTTGGAATACTGTCCTTCAAGTTCCGCCAATCGGATCCAAACGTCACGAGTGAGTTTGCCTTCGACGAAAGTAGCGAAAGTCCTACTCAGGTCATCAACGAACTCGTCGGCGAATGCTTCGAGTTCGTCTCGACGAGGTTGATGTATCAATCCGGTTGCCACCCCAGGATTCTTGATTATTTCTGCAGGGTGTAACGAACCATGGATCCCATGGTTCGTTACAAGCAGACGACGCAGCCAACGCTACTCCCAGGTGAAGCGATCAACACCCAGCAAAAATGCAAACACAGCCAATTGCCCCGAAAGACATTCTTTTTACACACGAGAAACGCGAAGTGCCAACAAGTGCAAATCGATCCCCTTACCTGGGGCATTGCACTCTTGTTAGACACTCACATGTGCGAGCCCGTGATCAGTTCGATATTCCTTACATAGAATATCGAACACTGACTATAGGGCCAGTGATTAGGTAACCTTCTGTTACCAATCACCCTTACGTAAGAAAATTCCAACACTGTAATAGGATATCTTTTGTAAGATCCAACAAAATCGATGGCCGGCCGATCTATAAAAGGCACTGCCTTGCATGAAGAGGAGGCAGTCCACCAGCCATCGTAGGAGGCAGTCAATCGAGATTCAATCGCGGGAGTCAATGGAGTAAATCGAGCCGATATACGTCGCGCCTAAATAAAACACTAAATAAACCAATAATAAAAAACCCACTTCAAAAAAGGTGTTGTGATTTAAAACCGCTTTCTTTCAGCTTCTTGGCCAAGTTCCTGGTTCCTTCCCCATAAAAGTCCTTGCGAATTAAAAATAACCTTGTAATTCAAGAGCCCTGGACAGAGTGAGCATACCTCAGCCTGAGATAGGTCCTTACAAGTGGCGCCCGAGCAGGGAAAACATCAAGAAATACCGAAATCAGGGACTTCGTGGATTAAAGACCCACTGCCAGCAAAAGGAAAATTGAATAGAAACGCAACAATAATTCACTAACGTAATCCGGGCGCGAAAACAATCGCGAAAGTAAACGCAGTGCCGACCCTAAAAGTGCCGTTTAACCTTGAATCAGTGCCAAGACCAACAGAAAACCACCATGAAACACCACGACGAGGAACAACCAGAGGAGGCGTACCCTGCGGGACACTTTTCCAATCAAGGGGTGAGCACCGGCTGGCTCCACAAACTTCGTCGGGACGAGCTAGAAGTCCTCGCCGAAGAATTCGGATTCGGCAGCGAAGGAACGGTCGATGAACGCCGAAAGAAATTTTCCGCGCTAGTCACCGGACCACTCGCGCAAGATGCCTGGGTTTGCTTAGGAGAGTTCGAAAGGTACTATGCCAAACCAGCCTCACGCTACCGCACAAAGTCACCACTGCCTGCTACTCCTGGACCATACGACACTCGCCAAATGGATCCTAAGACCGGATTACGAGTCCCTGCAGCCACAAATGGCGGAAAACATCCGAAAATGGGGAATCCAGTTTGACGGCCAAGGTGATCCTCTATCATTCATTGAACTACTCGAAGAACGTGCGCTCTCGTATGGGGTGGACTTAAACCAGCTACCGCGGGCCATGGCTGAACTTCTCACAGACCGTGTCAGGTGGTGGTTCCGCATCAGCCGCCTACAAAGTTCCTCATGGGAAAACTTCCGCCAGGAATTCTTAGCGTTCTTCTTGCCACCACGGTATTTTGAACAACTGGAAGACCAGATCCGAGCCCGCAAGCAAGTGTCAGGGGAACTGGTCAAAGATTTCCTCATCGAGATACGGCTACTCATGTACCACGCCAGGTACGACGCAGCCAAGGAGCTAAGCAGGATCTACGGATACGCCCTCCCAGCATACCAGATGAACGTGCGCCGCCACGAACTGCGAGGCTTGTCACAGCTAACACTGCTGGCCACGGAATTGGAGAGTATTCAAGCGCGGACCATCCCGACCACTCTCGCACCACCACAACAAACAAGGCCGGCTACAGAGCCGACGAGCAGCGACTCCAATCGGACACCATCCCGGAAGCCTCATTGGGACTCGGCAGACTCACCAAGGAGACAGCTATTCAACCCAACCAGTACGACAAAACCCGAGGCGACACATCGCATGATCACGGCCCCCATCGCCAACCCACGCGCAGCCTGTCGCCGGTGTGGTGAAGCAGGTCATGCGGCATACGAATGCCAAAATCCCTCGATCCTATTCTGCTGGGAATGTTGCAAGCGCGGCACACGGACCGTCGATTGCTGTCGCCAGCACACGTCGGGAAACGACTCGCGTCCTCGACTGACACGGGTTCAGCCGGGAACGACGTCCGCCCCGACCCACGGATCAAGTTATCGTCGGCATGGACTTCCTATGTGCCATTGAAACAACGATCAAGTGCGGTACCACACTTCTACAATTACGAAATCAGTGCCCCACACCACCTATCCACCCCGTTCCAACCAACAGCGTACAAGGCAGCGTAAAAGGCACTGCCTTGCATGAAGAGGAGGCAGTCCACCAGCCATCGTAGGAGGCAGTCAATCGAGATTCAATCGCGGGAGTCAATGGAGTAAATCGAGCCGATATACGTCGCGCCTAAATAAAACACTAAATAAACCAATAATAAAAAACCCACTTCAAAAAAGGTGTTGTGATTTAAAACCGCTTTCTTTCAGCTTCTTGGCCAAGTTCCTGGTTCCTTCCCCATAAAAGTCCTTGCGAATTAAAAATAACCTTGTAATTCAAGAGCCCTGGACAGAGTGAGCATACCTCAGCCTGAGATAGGTCCTTACAAGTGGCGCCCGAGCAGAGAAAACATCAAGAAAAACCGAAATCAGGGACTTCGTGGATTAAAGACCCACTGCCAGCAAAAGGAAAATTGAATAGAAACGCAACAATAATTCACTAACGTAATCCGGGCGCGAAAACAATCGCGAAAGTAAACGCAGTGCCGACCCTAAAAGTGCCGTTTAACCTTGAATCAGTGCCAAAACCAACAGAAAACCACCATGGAACACCACGACGAGGAACAACCAGAGGAGGCGTACCCTGCGGGACACTTTTCCAATCTAGGGGTGAGCACCGGCTGGCTCCACAAACTTCGTCGGGACGAGCTAGAAGTCCTCGCCGAAGAATTCGGATTCGGCAGCGAAGGAACGGTCGATGAACGCCGAAAGAAATTTTCCGCGCTAGTCACCGGACCACTCGCGCAAGATGCATGGGTTCGCTTAGGAGAGTTCGAAAGGTACTATGCCAAACCAGCCTCATGCTACCGCACCAAGTCACCACTGCCTGCTACTCCTGGACCATCCGACACTCGCCAAATGGATCCTAAGACCGGATTACGAGTCCCTGCAGCCACCGAAGACCGCACTCATGCAGCCCCGTTTCCAAGGCCCCTAGCTACAGAGACTCATCCAGCACCCGTACCGAGGGTCTTCCCAGCGATCGACCGAACCATGGAAGGACACTACTTCAACCACGCCGCAAAAATGGCGGAAAACATCCGAAAATGGGGAATCCAGTTTGACGGCCAAGGTGATCCTCTATCATTCATTGAACTACTCGAAGAACGTGCGCT